AGTCTGTAAGTACCTGCACAGGGAACAGATATTGAATAACAGACTTCAATTGACAGAGAAAGGTCTAACCTGATCCAGTGACTGGAAGTTGAAGCTAGACACACAGGGCCGGTGCTACCATTAAGGCAAACTAGGCGGTTGCCTAGGGCGCCAAGATTTGGGGGCGCCCTGCAGCAGCTCCCCCCTGCCCGCCTTGAGGCACACCTCCCCCCCCCCGTGGCAGCTCCCCACCCCCCCGGCCCGGGGAGCCATGCGGCAGCTCCCAGCCCCAGCTCACCTCTGCTATGTCCCCTCCCCGAGCACGCCGTCGCTGCTCCACTTCTCCCTCCTCCCAGGCTTGCGGCGCCAATCAGCTGTTTGGTGCCGCAAGCCTGGGAGGGGAGGAGAATTAGAGCGGGGGCGGTGTGCTCGGGGAGGAGGCGTAGCAGAGGTGAGCTGGGGTGGGGAGCTGCTGCACAGCTCCCGGGGGGGGGGGGAAGCTGCCGGGGGGGGGGGGGGGGGGGCCCGGGGGGGGGGGGGGGGGGGGGCGGCGGGGCGGGGGGGGGGGGGGCGCAAGGTGGAAGTTTCACCTAGGGCGCGAAACTTCCTTGCACCGGCCCTGTAGACACATTAAAACCAGAAATAAGGAGTAATTATTATTTATTTTTAAACCACAGAGTAGTTAGCCACTGGAAATGGCCAAGGGCACTGATGTTCTGTATTGACCATGTGGAATGTTGGAGGTGTCCAGGAGGATGCGAATGGACGTCTGCCCACTTTCCAGCCACTGACAGCAGCAGCTCATCCATCAGTGCTACTGCTGCTGCTGGCATTCGGGGGCCTGGCCGGACTCCAGACTGGGCCAGCTCTTGTGAACCGCCTGTGGCTAGAGGAGACTGAAGGGGACCTTTGGCCAGCACCTCTGGTGGTTCGTTTCAAACCCTGCCAGGTGTTTGAGCAGTTCCCGTTTGCCCTCCAACGTGCACTGCGTTGCAATCGATCAACATTGACTTTCACCTGCCATCGTTTTGAGTGGGTCCTGACGCAGCCGCCATGACCATCAAGCAGCATCTCAGGCCCAGCGGCCATCTGGGGCTGAGCTCAGGTGTCGAGTCCGAGTCTCTGCTGGAGCTGCCACGTCCACACTGCTATTTTTGGCAGGCTAGCTTGAGCCCACTTAGGGCAGCAGCTCAGCCGTTCCCAGAGCCCTTCCCTGGGCTCCCGGCCTCCTACAGCTTTTTCCTGAGCTTAAACCAGGAGTCTCGCAGGAGTGGTTGTTCCCAGGGCTTCCATTCCCCTGTCCAGAGTGGGAGGACGGAGCTCCTCTCTCCCTGCCCCCTCAGTGTCCTTGCAATCAGGGCAAAGAGCTGTGCTCTTTCCCAGGGCAAGAGAGTTAACGCTTCCTTTGCCACCACGGGGCATGCCAGTCCCATCCTATCACACCCTTCTCGTTCGGAGCCGAGACATCAGTAGCCGGGCCCCCCACGCATCCAGGGCTGAGGTCGGTGCTCCCCACTTACAAGTTACTGACTAAGAACTGCTAAACACAAGGAGGTGCGACAGCCCCGTAAGGGTGCCGCTAACTTCGCTCGCTTCCCAAAACACACTGCAGCCGCCCATGGACGCCTGGAACCCGACTAGGGCCAGGAGCAACGACCTGCCTGCAGCACATCTGCCAGTTCTGCCCTCCCACCTGCGTGGATCCTGCCTCTCCGCCCTCGAGCAGGTGCCCCCATGACCCAAACAAACATGCAGGAGGGATGGCCACAGGAACCCCTGGAGTCGGCTACCACCATTGCCCAATCCTGGTTTGAACAATCGGTTTTAAAGAGATCTGTCTGTGAGTGACAGCCCCCCCCCCCCCAAACACATCCCCCAGAGATCAGCAGCACGGCCTAGAGTCTGGCAGAGTCCCAGCTCAGAGCCGTACCACTTGAGCTGCAGGAGGAACGGCTTTCCGCTTTGTGGACCAGCCAGTAGAAGAGGCTTTCACCACCCGTTCCCATTGGGTTACACAGCTATTGTGTTCTAAAAATGCTCTATAAACAAGCAGTCCCTCCGTCTATCCGCTCCGGTCTGAATCAGCCCATGACGCGGCAACACCGAGCAGCAAAACGCAGATTCTCGTAGCTTTCACACAGCCTGCAACAGGGGTCCAAAAAGTGGGGTACTCCTGGAAATAAACTGTGAATGCCACTTGAACCACGGGCCGGCGCTGCTGCACCCACAGTAGCGACAATCCTGCTTTTACACACTGCATAGGTAACTTGTGGAACTCACTGCCCAATGGGAACCTCCTGAGCGAGTGAGGGTCGAAGACAAGGGCTGTTAGCCAGAGGCTGGCTGTGCACACCACACGCTCCTGCGGCCAGCATTGTGTAAGAAGAGAGGAGCCCCACTCCCCTGCCTCAGGCCGCCCCGCCCCCAGGGCATGGGGCGGGGGAGAGACATGGCTCTCCATGGCTCGGGTCAGACACACAAAGGCCCCCACCTCTTCCTGGGGACTGGGTGCCTCTGGCTGAGGGAGTGACACACGCAGAGCCGGAACCTGTTTGCCAGGAGTGGGCCCTGAATTAACTCACCAGGGAATGGGGCTACTTATTATGCAAATGCTAAATTGATTTGATGCCCGTCCTGCCTGAATGAAGCACTTGGCATCTGCCCCTGCAAAGAGGTCCGGGCCAGGGCACAGCCACAAACTGACCCGGGTCACCAGCTGCAACTGGAACCTCAAGGAAACGGCAGCGAACAGCAAACGCCGCAGGCCTGCGGAGTGTCCCTTCCAGGCCCTGGGGCAAGAACACCTGGTTCCACTCACTGACTCACCAGTTATATAAGCAGTGCCACACACAGGCCTTGCTCGACATGCTCTGCTGCATCCCAGGTCAGCACGCTGCATCGGAGAGTTGGAGTCACTGGCGCTTTGGCAATGCCAAGGGACCCGGCAGAGACATGCACATGTCGGATGCAGGCGAGCATCCATGTGCCCAGGAACACGGCACGTGTGCACACGCAGATCACGCACGGCGGCTTTCAGCGAAGAACACGCTTGCTCTGCCCTCCCTAGCATGGCCTGTATCTGCTGCCGCCTCGACCTTCACTCAGCTGAATCATTCACACCTGCTGCATTTGTCGGCTCTCACCTTGAGCTCTGTAGCTCCCTCTGGAGTACAGGTGTCCCCGAGAGTCATGCTCTGATCCTCCAAGTCCATCCCAGATAAGTCCCTCTGGCCTCATCTCCTCCCAAAGGCCCCCTCTCTCCTCCACTCCCACCTTCCTCTCTTGGCAAGGCCGTCACCACTCCAGACACTGCGGGACCTCTACCCCATCAGACTGCCATTGTTGGAAACAGCCAAAGAGCAAACCCCACTCTTCCTGCAAGGAGAGGGGCCTTGCTCCCTTGGGAAGTACCCGCCCAAACATTCAGCATCCCACCAGCTCCCGGACCACGGCTCTCGCCCTGTCGGAGCGTATCGTGATTTGCATCAGTCAGTAGGCTCCTTCCAGGAGGGATCAGGATCCAAGAAGCCAGGAAGTGCTCATGGAGGGCTACCTCGGCCCGCCCTGCCAGCCCCTGGAGAGGGAAGCCCTGGCCATTACAATAGATGGCTTGGCACTCTCCAAGGGGCATGGGTGGGTGTGCACATGAATGGCCCCATTTTACAAAAGGGAAAACAGAGGCCCTGGGAGATTCACTAACAAAGCTAGCTAAGGGCAGCGCTGGAGCTAGGACCGAGGTGCCCAGGCTCCCATGACCTTGCCCTCCTCACTGGTGCACACCTTCTCCCATAAAGAGGCATCTCACGGTGTTCACCGTCAGACAGGTAAGCACAGCCATGTAGTACCAGTCGCCCACCAGGCTGCAGAGAGCAAGAGGGAAGTGCCAGAGACTCATCCCCGGCAGCAGCCCAGCCCCACGCTAGCCAGCCATACAGCTGTGGGGCAGCGTGCCAGCATCACACTGGAGACACCATCTTCGAGGAACAATTCTCGTGGGGCTCAGGCTGCGGGGCTGTTTCATTGCTGCAGAGACTCCCGGGCTCGGGTTGCGCCCAGGCTCTAGGCCCTGTACGGTGGGAGGGTCTCTGAGCTCAGGCCCAAGCCCAGACGTCTGCACAGCAAAGACCCAGCCCCACAGCCCGAGCCCCTTGAGCCCAAGTCGGCTGGCCCAGGGCAGCCGCGGGTTTTTCTTTGTGTGGTAGACATACAGCCCTTCAGCCAGGGAAGCACTTCTAAGTGCAAGTCCAGCTGTGCTGGCCCAGCTCAGAGAGCAGGAGCCCGGGACAAGGGGCGACTGTCTGTTCTGCTGGGCCAGGCAGAGATCGCCGAGTGCAGGAGGAGGTGGAAGGAAGGTGTTTTATGGGGCAGCCAGTGGTAGGCCTTGCCCACGGAGTGGGGCCAGCTACTGTCCCCACCTCCCGCCCTCAGGACCAGTCAGGGGCCATGCGATACAAGTGTAACTTACTCTGGGTGCTGGGAGGAACACCCGGTGTCGAGCTATACCACCACCAGCAGGGGAGCCCTCTGACGGCAGAAAAGCCCCCAAGCGGACCCCGAACGCACCCCCATATCCTGCTCCAAGGGGCAGCCTGCCTCCCTCCGTCCCAGGCACGGCAGCAGCCCATCCAGTGGGCTGGATCACCAGGGCCCTCACGACCAAGCCACGTGCAGATCCAGGACGCCACACCGCAGGCATCCGCACCGGCCCATCTCACGTTGAGCCTTCAGAACCACGGCTCTGCTGCACAGGCCGGGTGGGCCCTTTCCACAGGACATCGGAGCCCTTGTGCAGGAACCTGGTGTGAACACGTGCCGTTGACATCACACCGACGTGCACACACACACACACACACACACGGAATCACCCGCCCGGCACTGCAGCCAGGTGCACGCGCTGACCGGAGACGAGTTCACCCAGCTCCTGGCACAAGCAGGCGTCCCAGCTACAACAGGCCGATTAAACATTAACCGCCAGGGAGGAGGGAGGCTGAGCCCTGGGCACGGATGCCAGGCGCACTCACCTGTGATGAAGACGGCTTTCCCCGCCACGGGGAGCCTTCGCCCCTGGGCCACGCGCCCCAGGGCCAAGCCGCCGGCGGCGGTGAGGGCGGCGCCGAGGGGCAGAGGCAGGCACGCCTGGCACAGGTACTGCAGCAGGACCAGCACCCCCAGGTGCAGCAGGGCCCGAGGCAGGAGCAGCTGGGAGCGGGAGAGTCGCAGGAGGAGGCTGCCCGCGAAGAGGAGCCAGAGCGAGCCGTAAACCCAGCGCTCCATGGCTCGGGGCCAGCGGTGCCCGGCGTGCGGCACAGACAGCGGCCAGCCACGGCACCTACTTATAGCGGGGCCGGCCGGGAGAGGGCGGAGCCGGCCCTGCCCTGCCAATGGGAGCCGGCCCGCGGGCTGGGCTGGCTCTCCGCGCCCCGACACGCTCTTGCCCCAAGTTGGCTGCGGCCGGGGCGCGGAGGCGCCCCCGGGGCCAGAGCCCGGCCGGCCGCGGAGCCTCTCCCCCCGCCGGCTGCGGGAGCCCTGGCCCG